CCCCCCCCACCTGCTCGCTTCCCAGAAACCTTCACAGCGGGGAAAACGCAGCGTGTCTGGAAGGTAAATGAAGCCAGAGTCTGGCAGCCTGAGCCAGGAGCAAGGTCCAGTCATTTAGTTTTGCTCTGGGACCAGCCCCTGTTTACCATAACTCAGGGCCGCTGACATGTTTTTGTTTCTCTTTGGCTGATGAGCAGCAGCAACCTGCGAGCCCCGGGGAGGCAGAGGTGAGGAGTGGAATTATGGAGACAACGAAAAGACCACTGAGCTTTGAAAATAAACGAGGTTTTACGAGCGCTGTAACCACCCTTTTCTCTGCACGACTTGGACACAGGGAAGGACACGGGAGCTGTCGGACAACGGGAATGACACAGGCACGGAAAACTCTGGGATTGCAGCGGAGCATTAGCGGGGCAGAGCTGATTAGGAAACCAGGGGACATTATTCAAGCAGTCAGGTGCATTACCAGATTGGAAAGTTGCCTCTTTTTCCTGAGTTGTTGGTCACTGTCAGAGGCAGCAAATGACACCCAGTGGCCCAACAATTTGCCCTGGAATGGCAGGAGCCGTGAGTCAGGAATGGATGGAACAGCAGCTGCTCGGAAAAAGGCAGGAATTAGAGGCTGCTCTGAATTGGCAGGAGCTGGAAGAGAGGACAAAAGGGCAAATCGGTGCACTGGGCAGGGAGATGGAGCAGGGTGAATAAAGGGGCTGGAAATGGACTTTCGGTGCTGCAGCCCCAACCTGGGTGAACAAATAACCTGAGCCGGTGTAATGAAGCCCCTGATCCTCCAGCTCCTTTGTGTCCCGGGTGTCCCGGGGTCAGCGTGTGCCCACCCGAGCACACACACGCCCTTATCTTATCTAATTACTCCCAGTTTCAGATTAATTTCGGTGCAGCTGCTTGAAAGGGCTGTTATCAGCCGGGGCTTTGTGGTTTAACCTTGTTACCCTTTTGTTGTTAACCTTTCTGGATGGCGGAGAGGGGGAGGCTCAGAGCCTGATGGGCTGGGGGAGCTGGGAGGGGGCACAGGGGAACTGGGGGCTCCACTCCAGACTGAGATCCTGATGTGCTGGAGGAACTGGGAGGGGG